ATCAACTCTCCAGCCGATCTAGGAACGTTATGTTGCCCTGTGTGGGGGCAACTGGTTTTTCTCACCAATATGTCGCCCTCTTGGCGTACACCCATGTCCCAATCCACTCGACTTGTCGGATTTATAAAAATTCGTCGCTACCTGTGCATCCGCACAGCCGCCGTCAACTTCCTCCACAGTGTGATTTGTTGTCACATGTTTTCTTATTCATTCCTGACAAAGATTGTACCACACATGAGCCATCGCAATCTCTCTCAATACATCCACACGCTTTTGGACGCTTCAAGACGTTCATGAAATGTCCATGTGATGAAAAAAAGGCCAGGCATCTTCACGGTTTGATGCTGCCAGCTGACCCTTGGCTCGTACCTAAACCAAGACAAACTTAGGATGACATCAAACTCTTCATCCAAATCAAGTACGATGAAATCATCATCGTACTGCAAATATTTCAACGTTTAGTGAATTAATACTACACGTTCATCAATGCTATCGGAGCGCCTGTTGCAAGGCGCGCCGTCGTACTCGTCAGAGGGGTATCACCTTAACGAACTTGAGCCTACGATCCTCTAGTGACTGATGATGAACAAAGCTGTTTGACGCCTCAAAGTCAACCATGGCACGAAGTGACAGTTCTTTTGTCACTTCTATGCTCAAGGTAATAAGAGTACCTCATCACCAAGTACAGAGACGCACAAGGATTATGAGTCTGGAGCAACTCTCATCAATATGTTCACGAATTCTATAGAGGTTGCTATATCAGTTGAGCGCTCCATCTTTACTGATCTCAGCGTCGGACCCGCATCCGTTATCCTTCTTGGCAGACGAGCTATCACTTCAATCAGTGTTTCGAGACGATGGGCTGAATTCACTTATAGTATCGCTACCGTGCAACTTACAAGGTAGCAAACGTGTTGAGCGTTAGCGTGGACTTCACGCTTAACTTGCTTTATCTTTAGGATCTCTAAAGGTCCCAATTTTTAGCTCTTGGCGGCTCAAACGTTTGGCTGAACAGAGTCTTAAAGATCGTCAGCAATCCAAAACAGGTTTGAATCGTGCAATTAAATATTCAGGGCCAAAGTTGTGGCCAGCCATAAAAAACTTAATTCGGCAAATGCAAATTGTATATCCTCATCTTCGATGAGTTGAGTCTTACTTGTATCGTTCAATTCGAGGAATCATCTCAACAGGGAGTCTTCCTCGACTCTTCGGTACTTGGATACTTCCAACCTCAAAGTATCGCGTCAATTCTGCAGAAGCAGACTGATACTGCTGCTGTATCAGGAGCTCATTCTGCTCGCGACCTTGCTGATACTAGAGGGTCACTTCAGCTCGCGACTCGTCAAGTTTTTGTTGCAAGAACTCGGCGATTACGGAATGCTGCTTATCCCGATTCCCCGATGATAGCAGATACCAGACAGCTTCTTTGCCAACGGTCTAACTCATTTGTTTGGTCGCACTTGATTCGACATCACTCAAAGAGGGGTTGATTTCACAGGTTGTGTAAAATTATCGTCGCCTTTATTGTCCAACATGTTCATCTCGAATGGGTTTTGTTGTCCTTAGACGGACTACAAAGTGCTACCAGGTGTAACAGGGCAGCAAAGAAATACACTAGATAACTAGTTTGGAGCTACTCCCACTTACAGCAGTGTTAAGGGTGCCTCACTACCTCTGTAAACTTTTCTGGGGAGGGGGGAAGAAACTAGGAGCTGACTATTTGCTGGTAAAGAACAACTGTACTGAATATGATTATTTCTAGATATGAACCGAAGTTTTAGTCCTAACTTAATTATATTCATCCGCAAAATGCATGCTTAAGTCTTGCTTACCGCTCATTACGCGCGTCCATCGTTTATTGGACCGCTAGAGCTGGCTGATATGATGATCCATATCAGCCAATCGGTAAGCGTTAATTGCATATTATTCCTTATGGTAATATTTACGAACATTATTAATCTTCAAGATAACATTTTAATCAATCAGTATCAAGAGTTAATTATATGTAATAGGCTCACCCCGTTACAGTTGTGATTTGCAAGTTTATAAGCTATAAGTTAGCGACCATGGAACGAGCATAATGGAACGCAATATGTATGAATAGTTTGAGGTTTGCGCTATGCGAATATTATTCCGAGGAATGACTGCACCTTAAAATCGATTGTCTGTAGTGATAAATTGCCAAACAAACAGTGCTCTATCTACTAACTTTCCACCAGGAACTGTTTTAGTGGTCTTTTGAGGTCATTATTTAGCTGATTTTGGGTGGATCTTAATTTGGGAGTGGAAGAGAAGTGATTATATCTGGATTAGGGATTTCACTTTCATTCCATTATTCGTTGACGAAGCTACAGTGTACGTGGAAGAAATTATTTCCTTAACTTTTGTTACATATTCCTAGTATTTAATGTAATTTAAATAAGGGAAAAAACAAAAAACCCACGTCCTTGTATACTCAAGTCAAAGTGGGAGACATAAACCGTTTCGTTGCGTGACTTAACCTATTATAATAACCATTTGCAAGCAATTTAATGATACGTTCGACTTTCAGTATCTCTGTACTCTTAACGTCCAGCGTGCTATCCATGGAGTTTATAATCATTTACAGCACCAACTAATTCCTGCAACAGCACTGAATTGTCCCCATCAGCTCTGGAAAGCCTTCGTATTAGTAAAAGGAAAGTCAAACAGATTCAAGATAGTCTATAAATGGTTGTACGTGCTAAAGTTACTATAGTGTACGAACAGGAAGCGAGTTCCTATCTTACGAATAAAATAACTAAAACAGCAGCACTATAGTACCGATTACACCACATTACATCAGTAACGCTACGAGCACTAGTTGCAGTATCATAAGGATCAGTAGCAGCAGCAAAAACAACAGCTACACATTTTTAATAACAGCTACACACGTTCTAACAACAGCAACAGCAGCAATGTAAACAAAAACGAAAATGACATCAGTACCATCAGCACCACCACCAGCATCAGCATCAGTAAAAAGCAACAGGAACATCACAAACACTTACTAAACAATATCTGCAGCAGCAGTGGTAGCAGCAACAACGACATGAGCAACTGAAACAAAATAACAATGATAACATAATAACACAATAATAACCGAATGTAAACGATACAATTAATTATAACGAAATAAGCACCTGTTGTAACCATTTTCGGCCGCGGCCGACAAAAAAAATATGCATTGACATCTCTCCTGTGCCGTCCGCGCCCACAACTGGTGGTTGGGAGTGTAGCACGCCCGCGGAAGAACTCCCTCCGCGGCTGCCCCTACAGGGCGGGGGCCGAGCGCAGCAGTACAATGGGAATTGAGATATAACTAAAAAATAAAACATTTTAATTGCCCAACTCTAACTTGAGTATGCAAGGACGCGGTACGTTTTTATTTTTCAATCATCTGGGGCATTTATAGGGTTTTGTAGATTCACTTCTTCTTGGGTAGAATCACAACCTTTTTCTATGGTTGAGCAGACATTGATAGTGGTCAATTTGATTGACCACTATCAATGTCTGCTTGGTCATTCGTTTGATTGGTCATTGTATGTGTAATCTATACCTGTTTAGCAGATTATATAATACGGTACCATCTTGCTTAAACGAGGAGTCACAGTAGTGCATACACCTCAAGATGGTGCCTGGCACGACCTTCGTCCGCACTTTTCTCATTTCTGACTTTAATAAAACGTTACCCGCGACCAATACAATTCGTCATTCCGACTTTTGGTATTCGTGACACAGTTTCAGCCACCACTTTATACGACGCATCCTAAACTTGTCGAGAGTGGAGTAGATGCCACAGCGACTCTCAATTTCTGCGGGGTATGAAGATGGCATTTTTTATCAAAATTATAATGTACAGGATTGAATTACCAGCGGAAGTCGCTGGAACATGGACGTACGTTTCTATCGTTTTAGACACTTTAAAGTGTGATAAGAAGGAGAGTAGCAAAGTGCAGTATCGCGTGGTCTTTATGATAATAGCAAATCACAATAACATCCACACGGTACTAAACTTTGTGAAGATTGTATACGGCCTTATTTTTCTTCGTCGCGTGACATCTATATTTTCTGTTTTTGCTGATCTGGAAATGTACATAAATGCCCTTATCGACTTCATCGCCATTATCCCTGCCTTTTTTTTTGGCGTGTGCTTCCCCTTTTTCCATTGCATCTTTTTGATATTAAGATATGTTTATACTTGTTCGCTGGATGCCATCCAAAGCTGATCTTGAGCCCCTTGTCGATGTTTAATATCGATAGGTGTGTTTGCTATAAAAGGATGCAATATTGTGGCCTTGGAGCACGTTCTATGGAGAAGTTAGTTGAAAAGTATACTATTACTAGACGTAGACGCTGTCTCAGCCAAATGCTTTTAATTACAGACTCACAGTTTACGCAAGAGCGTTGCCGCTATCTCGTCCCCCATGACATCGCCCTGTCTTCAGGTAATGACCTCTGATAGGGCTGCCAGGCTGCCGGGAGATGCCATAAAGTCATATAAATTATTCGGCTTGCGAGGGTTGATGGGAAAACAAGTATACTTAGGAACGAGATAAGATAGGGAAGCAAACTCTGATGCTCGCCCTTTGACACAAGTAATTTAGTCCATAGAACGGAATCAGGTTGCAGTACACTACACAACATCAGTGACTGGAGATTGAGTCTGATGATGACAACGCATGTTGTTGGAATGTTAGAAATGGGTGCAAGGGTACGTAACGGTGATCGGAGTGTTCGACCGGTGACTTGGGGTTTATTTGGAAACCTGATGTCACAAACTCGCTGTGCGTAAAAGGTGGACGCAGAGTGACAAGCAGGATAGTGATCCGTGTAGAGCCAGAATGCGTGTGAGATGGATGACTGGAGCAGAGGGCTTTTGGCGAGCATGGCAGAGAAGAGAGACCTAGTAAGGAAATGCAACAGAATCTTATAGTTCACCTAACGCTTCCTTCTCGCAACATACATCTTGCGTACAGGTTATGAGCCCAAGGTCCGCAACTACCGAACCGACAACGAAGACACCAGAAGGTGTCCCGCGATCCACGCCTGGGCGCGGCTCGCCAGCGCGCGCGCCTTCCGCACCCGCAGTCGTCAACGATGGACCCGCTCGCGAGAGCGGGAAGCGAGACGATAAGATTCTCGCCGCGCTCGCCGCACTCAAAGATCGACTGGCGAGCCTCGAGTCGTCGGAGAGAGTACGATACGAGGAAGAGCGCATGCTCGGGGCCGTGGAGAGCGGACTGTTCGTCTCGAAACTCGGCGCCAACATGCGCGGCCGACCGATGACGATTGACGCGATCGGAGACGCGGAGGAGAAGGCACCGGTGCCACGTGGGTACCAGCGCGCGACTGATCTTGGCGCGTCGCGATTCGCATCGCTCGAGCCACCTCGCGCGCGCGCAGCACCGCAGCTGCAGCAGCGCTACCGCCGCCGCATCAAGTCGCTCCGCCAAAATCTTATGTGCGACCGGGCCTCAACGGCTACGGGATGACGTCCGCAAGCCAGCGGAAGTTAAACATACGCAAGTTCGATGGTAAGAAGCTGTACCGCGGACTCGGGAGCGGATTCTTTGACTGGGAGCGTACGTTTCTGCGCGCGGTGAGCCTCGCGGAAGCGTCGTGTGGTTTCGGATGGACCGAAGACGTCAAGGTCGACCTGCTTGGGCACTTTCTCGCCGGCACGGCTGAGAGGTACTATCACAAGCAGGTCGATACCTGGTGGACGCAGTCACCCACACTGGAGTACACCATGGAGCAGCCCCTGCGCACGTTCAAGACGTCAATTACTGCAAGCCAGGCGATGAAATTATTCATGGCCAAGAAGGACGCACGACGCATTTGGGCCGAGAACTTCCTATACATGGTCGCCGTCAGCGAGGCACGCGGTGGTGCCGACTCGCTTGTTCTTGATAACATCGTTCACCACGCTTCGCCGGAGATGGTGAACGTGATGCACTCCAAGTATGAACCCACTCGACTCGACTACCTGCGCCATGCCTAGGAGCTGGCGCACTTCGTGGAGTCCATTGAGCACGGCAGCAGCGCGGTGGGTCGTGAGGTCGTCGCTGCGCACGTGGAGGGCAAACCCAAGGGCGCGATCACGTGCTACCGATGTGGACGACCAGGCCACATCGCAGCCGACTGTCGCGCGCGAGTCGTGCACGACGACGAGACACCCGCGGAGGGTGGAGGTGCCAGCATGATCCTTGCACTGACCGAGAAGCGCAGAGCGACCACGAAGAAGCGCAACAGGAGGAAGAAGGGCTCGCGCGGCAAGGACGCCGCACCGATTAATGCAAGCGATAAAGCGCGAGCCATAGACGACTCATGCGGCTTCGTGCTTACGACGAGCGACGGAGTACGAGCCACGGACGGCACACGCGGCCCCGTACTTGCGGCGACCGATGCCACGGGCGTCTACCGAGGAGACTGGATCCTCGATAGCGGCGCGAGCCGGCATCTTGTTAACGACGAGTCGCTGCTGCTCAAGTTGGCTTGCAGCCACGAGGTTGCAATGGCAGACGGCGAGTCGCTTCACCTGACGCGTGTCTGCAGCGTGCGCCTCGAGGTTCTTGCGCGCGGTGCTGAAGCGGTAGTGACGCTCACGGGTGAGTACTTGGCGCCGCGACTGGCAAAGAACATTGTGTCGTACGGCAAGCTCGCCAACAAAGGATTTGCCCTAGTGCACTCTGGAGAAAGGCGCTCGCTCGCTCGGTGCAGAGATGGTGCGGTCGCGTTCGATGTCACAATCGACAGCAACGTGCTGTATGTCGTGACGAAGGCCACGCGCGACAAGGAAGGTGCAGGCGGCGACACGATCATGGCGGCGCTAGAAGCGCATGCCACGGAAACCAACGTTGATGAGCCGCACGAAGCCTCGCTGTTGTACTGGCACCAGCGACTCGGCCACCTTGCGTTCGACACAATCGAACGCATGGCGCGCGATCCGGCATCGGGCATTCGGCTCAGCAACAACAGACGCATGGCGTGCGTGTCGTGTCTCGAGGGCAAGCAGACGCGCAAGGCGCAGTCCCAACAAGACAGCGGCAAGCACTCGACCATCGATCGCATCGGCGGCGTCATCTGCTCGGACCTGAAGGGTCCAATGACGCCGCGGGACCGACTTGGCAATCGTTACCTTGTGAACTTCGTTGATCACAAGAGCAACTACTGCCGAGTCTTACTCGCGCGCACGAAGGACGCTGCGGCGAAGCAGTTCGAGGCGTTCCTCGTCCACTTCGAGAAGCTTTTCGGGTTCAAGGTACACGTGCTCCTCACGGACGGCGGCAGAGAATACGCTAACGTGGACCTGCTCTGCGAGCGCACGGGCGTCGCGCGCCAAGTGTCGGAGGCGCGAAATCAGGCCTCAAACGGCAAGGCGAAACGAATGCACCGGACAGTGCTGAACCTTGCGCGCAGCATGATATTTGCCTGCGCGCTGCCCCTGATGTTCTGGGGAGACGCGGTACTATACGCCGTTCACATCCTCAACCGGAGCCCTACGCGAGCAAACGCAAAGAGAGCGTCACCATTCGAGGTGCTGACGGGCAAGACGCCGGATCTGCGTGGAATTGACGTTTTTGGCTCCCAGTGCAGCGTGTATAGAGACCCGCGCAAGAACTCGCTGCTGCAGCGCTCGGGGCGCGCCATCATTGTCGGCTTCAGCGAGGAAACCAAGGGCTACAAGGTGCTGCTGCCGCGTGACAATAAAGTGGTCGTCACGCAGCACATCAAGAAAATCGAGACATTGACGGAGGCGCAAAACGCGCAACTCCAGCGCGTGATGGACGTTGGCGATCGAGCCGGAGGCCAGGAGGAGACGGATGCGCCAGCAACAGCAGTGGCGAACGATGGTCGCACAGAGGGCATCAGGGAGACGCGTAAAAGCAGAAATCGATGGACGCGAGCGGCGCATGGAACACGCGGGGCGTTGAAATGCGCAGAAGCGGCTGCTCGTCAGGAGGAGACAGCCGCGAGCGGAGAAGTCGTAAACGCTGCTTTCGAGCAAGATCCGCTTAACAATGGACAGGCGATGCGCAGCGGCAAGCGCGAAGGGTGGGAGAAGGCGATGCAAGAGGAGATCGCCGCGCTCGAAGCCAACGACGTCTGGACTATCACAAGGTGAACGGCAGGACAGCATGCGCTGCATACCGAATGGGTCTACAAGACCAAGACAGATGCTCAGGGCGACCTCGAGCGGCTGAAGGCGCGACTGGTGGCGTGTGGCTACGAACAGGTGCTTAGTGTCGACTACACGCTCACCTTCGCTGCCGTGATGGACCTATAGACGGTCAAAGTGATCCTGGCGCTTGCGGCTACGTGGGGGGTGCCTGCGAAGCACGATGACATCCCCAACGCCTACGTTAAAAAAGCGGACAAGGAGCCGCACCTGCGCATCTATCTACAGATGCCGCGCGGCATGTCAATCTCGAAGGAGACGCTACGAGCGCAAGGCGTTTCGAACGCGAGCGAGCTGGTGCTGGAGCTGCGGAAGAGCCTCTACCGGCTCAAGCAGGCAGGCCGGCTTTGGAGCCAGCTGCTGCACTCGAAGCTCTCTACTCCCGGTTTCACGCGGTGTGAGAGCGACGTGTGTTTCTACTGGAAGTGCGACGACCTCGTCGTGGTCGGCGTGTATGTCAACGATCTCCTAGCGACAGGGACGAGCGCGGCAGCGGTCGAGCGATTCTTTGCAAGCATCGCGTCGTTGTCGATCAAGGACCTGGGGCGTGTCAGCAAGTTCCTGGGAATGCGCGTGACGCACAGCGGTCAGAATGGGTACACGCTCGATCAGGAGGAGGCCATCAGAGACCTCCTACGCGACAACGGACTCGCTGACGCCAACTCGACGTGGACGCCGATCGACGACAGCTGCTACGAGTTGGAAGAGGGCGACGCGGAGCTTCTTGGGACGCCAAGCGCGCAATTAGGACCGACTGTGCGCCAGTTTTAGTCGCTGGTCGGCTCGCTGCTCTGGGTGGCGCGTTGCACGCGCCCTGACATAGCGTTTGCGGTGCACAAGGTCACGAGACGAGCCCACGCGCCTCGACTAGCAGACTGGAAGTTGGCTAAACGCATCGCGCGATACCTCAAGGGTACGGCGGCGCTCAAGGTCACGATGATCCCAGAAGACAATTTAGGTGCGGCGATGCGACTAGAAGCGTTCAACGACGCCGACTTTGCCGCGACAAGACGGAACGGAAGTCACTGACGGGCGGCATCGTGATGCTGAACGGGATGGCCGTCAGCTGGGGTGCGCGGAAGCAGGGAGGCGTCTCCCTGTCGACGATGGAGGCGGAATTTGTCGCGGCGAGTGAAGTCGCGCGCGAGCTGCTCGGCCTGCGCGAGATGTTGTGCGAAGTGGGCGTAGAGCCCGCGCTTCCGATGCAGTTGCGGGTGGACAACCAAGCGGCGATCGCGCAGATCGCGGGAGAGGCATCGTCGCTGAAGGCAAAACATGTGGATGTGCGCCTTAAGTTCCTTTGCGACTACTCGCGTCGCGGAATCATCACGGCGAGCTATGTCAGATCGGAGCAGATGCTCGCAGACCTCCTCACGAAGGCGTTGGACGCGACGAAGCTCTCGACACTGCGCGCACTCGTGCGCATTGGTTAAGAAAAGGTCAAGGACGACAAGGGCGATCAAGGAGCTCAAGGATCGAGGAACGCAAGGACAAGGACATTTGCAAGCTCAAGAAATGAAACTGGTGTGAGGGCAAGTCACGACCGAGGAGGAGTGTTGGAATGTTAGAAATGGGTGCAAGGGTACGTAACGGTGATCGGAGTGTTCGACCGGTGACTTGGGGTTTATTTGGAAACCTGATGTCACAAACTCGCTGTGCGTAAAAGGTGGACGCAGAGTGACAAGCAGGATAGTGATCCGTGTAGAGCCAGAATGCGTGTGAGATGGATGACTGGAGCAGAGGGCTTTTGGCGAGCATGGCAGAGAAGAGAGACCTAGTAAGGAAATACAACAGAATCTTATTGTTCACCTAACGCTTCCTTCTCGCAACACGCATCTTACCTACATTTGTATTAACACAGTACTGTATACCTGAGCGACGCGACCAGCCTTCGCTTATGAGCGTTCAACATTTGCTCGTGCGATCATATTCACCTTTAATCAATTTTAAGCCAATCAGTTGCGTGTATAACAATAGTGACCTAGCAAAAGGGTGACTTCGGAATAGCCTTTGCCCAAGAGGCAGGACAGGCTAGATCGCACCTAGTACGAGTGAGACACACCTTACCACGTTATTCACATGCAGACAGACAGACAGACAGACAGACAGACACGCACACAGATAAGTACGATTTAGAAGTTCGTCCACACATCTTTGCGCACACTCACTAATTTTTTCATCACCATTCGGGCTCGCAATAACCTATCGCGACATGTGTTTACTTAACAAAAGAAAGGGAGAAAATCTTACAGCTCCCTTTTTCTATTTGCAATATCTGGGCATTTTTTATTCTCGTGAATAATTGGGGTTTTTTGTCATCTGATGCAAGACCCTGTGTACGATGCCACCATAATCCGATAGCCTTTGCTAACCTATAGGAAATGTGTCCACCGAGACTGAAAGGTAGTAGAGGGAGACCTGGAGACTTACAAAAGTGTTGATGTTTAGCCAGTCATACTAAATCATGGAGCTCACTTGGCTCTTCAGTCCATTAACAAATGGAACAGAGTAGTATCTGCTGCTCCCTCGATTGGTCTCATGGATACAAAGACCGCGGCACTCGCGGAGCAGTTGGTGCCGGCCACGTACGTGCAGCAAGGTCTTGCTGCCATTCGCTCGCGCCACAAGTTGGTCACCACATTACTAGCCCAGCGGTGCCTCCCGGACGACGGATGGGACGACACGAGCGTCGAAATGCTCTTGCAGACGCTCTCGGCCATGGACAGCAACAACTTCCGAGCCAGCGTGGGGGCTGGCGAGCGTGAAGCGCGTGTGTTTTCGACGCTAGTGGCGCGTCGACACTTTGGATTTGCGCACGGAGTGGGACGATCAGGCGACGTGGCGGCGGTGCAGCCGAAAGCTGCCGGGTCGTCGCTCCTGGTGCAGCTGGCCAACGCTCTTGCGAAAGACGTGCTGCGTCTGGCTGGGCTGCGAGCAGTACAAGCGGCATTGGTGCTGCCTGTAGCGACTGGAATGTCGCTTATGCTGGTGCTGCTGCAACTCAAGAAGACAAGGCCCGCGGCGCGCTACGTCATTTGGCCGCGGGTCGACCAGAAATCCTGTTTCAAGGCCATTTTGGCGGCAGGACTGACGCCACTAGTGCTGGCAAATGTTTTAGTCGTAGCAGATGGAGTCTGTGGGGGGTATTTGAAGACGGACTTGGCTGGGATGGCAGCGTTGATGGACCAATACGGCAGTGAAAGTATTTTGGCTGTAAGTAGCACCACGAGCTGCTTTGCACCTCGTGCGTATGACGCTGTGAAGGAGATTGCCCAGCTTTGCCAGGAACGAAACATCGGTACAAAGAAGGTAGCATCAGCGTGTTTGTGCCTGAATGCGTGAGAGCTGACGAGATACTGTCACTGCTGTTTGTATCGAAAGCACACGTGATCAACAACGCGTATGGCGTGCAGGCATCTGCATGCGTTCACCAGATCGATTTGGCTATGCGCATTGGCCGTGTGGATGCTGTGGTGCAAAGTCTTGACAAGAACTTTCTGGTGCCGGTGGGTGGTGCGATCGTTTGCTCGACGTCCAGTGAAATCGTTGACAGCGTCGCTAAGTTTTATCCTGGTCGAGCCAGCGCCACCCCCGCACTCGATTTTTTTATCACAATGCTCCAGATGGTCCGTTGATTGGCAAGCTATTCGGATCACGCTTTTGGCAAATTTATGTAACATGTTATCGTGCTCGATCTGTGACTATTCCTAGGGTAAGAATGGATATCGGCGACTACTTGAAGAACGCAAGCATCTTGCAGCTTACATGCGTGAGAAACTCGAGGTATTGGCAGCGGAGGAGGGTGAGCATGTGCTGAAAGTTTCCACGAACGAGGTAGGCACAAATGAGCTCAAGTTGCGCCCGCGTTGTTTAGCGACCACTTGACCTTTGTTCGCGCGTAGATCTCCTATGCGATGACATTAGCCACATTTTGCTCGGAAGTCGAAGAAAGGCAAGAGAAGTCGCGACGGCTGACGCTACTGGGTGCTATGCTTTTTTCCCGTGGGGTGTGTGGAGCGAGGTGAGTCTGATGTCTTTATGAGGCGAAATGTGTGCATCGGTTGTCTGACTTGCAAGTGAATGGTCGGTCACCCAGAGTGGTATCATGCCTCGATAGCAAATGTATTGCTGGGTACGAGTTCGACTCTTTTGGAGCACACCACGACAAGTTCCCGGTGGCCTACGTCACTTTTGCCTGCGCGTTGGGCATGCAAAAAACCGAGGTGGACATGCTCATGACGAAGTTGCGGAAAACGATCCACGACTGGCGAAAGAAGCAAAATACGACTCCGTGTAAAAACGACCACCAGAAATAGAGAGGACTCGGCACGCGGAACAGGTACAACAAAGCAGGCATGCCATTCCTTGTCTATAAAGTCTGTTGTCACTTTTCGTATTGACTTCACCAGCTGACGCACAGCTGCAGTTCTAGTGCTTTTTGCCTGCGTTCTTAGGCTTCCTTGTTTTCTTTTTGGGCGCAGACACTGGTCCGCTGTCTTGATCAGCCTCTGTCTTAATCTCAAACTCCCCGAGCAGTTGGTTGGCCACGGCATCAGCTGCTGCAGCTGCATCCACTTCCCGGCGGCCTCTAGCACCCTCCACAGCCTTCTCCGTGAACTTGGCCATAAACTTGGCTGACTCGACAACACGCGAATCCTCATCACCGAACGCCTCTTTGAAGAGCGAATACACTTTTTTCTCGTACGCAAGCGCCTCGCGGTAACCACCAGCCAGGCTACACGCCAGAGCCATTTGGTGAAGCGTGTTAGCCGCTTGGTTGCGATCGAACTCACCGCGGCGAAGTGACTCGCGGTGGCACATCAATGCCAGCGAAATCTGCCCAACATCTTGGCACATCATACCCATCTTGAAGTAAAGCGAGCTAATTTCGGGAAAGTGGGGACCGCAGCAGAACTCTAGCAAGTAAATTGCGCGACGGATGTGCGGCACCGCTAGATCTGTTTGAGCGTTTGCGTGCAGAAACAGCGCTAAGTTCGCGTGCGCGTACGCCGTGTCATGGTAGTCAATACCCTGAAGTTGTGTATACAGAGCTAGTGCTCGCTGTTGCTGCGCGATGGCACCAGCCACGTCGCCAGCGTGGTAGAGAACGGTAGCGAGCGATGAGCTGCAAAGAGCTGCATCTTCGTGGGCTGCGCCGCACACTTGGAATAGCAGCGATGACGCTTCTTGAAGAAACTCGTAGGCACTAGAAAGTGCACCCTGACTCAAGTGCAAGCGTCCACGCTCTATGAGCTGCTTAGCTTGTGGCAATGGGTGAGCTGGTAGCGAAGTCTTCACGACAGGTACAACGCCAGCCATGTCGTCCAGGCTGACAGGCGACGAAGACGAAAAGTTGTAGTTACGGCTTTCTACCCGCAGGCCTAGACGCTGACACAAACGTCGCATCATGACCATCTTGTTCACACGGCCGGCGGGAAAAGCAATATCATCGCCACCAGACTCGTTGTTGCCGGGACCCCAAAGAGCCAGCTCGTAGTCAAACCGAGTCTTGATCTCCTTGCCAATGCGCGTCCAAAGAGTCATCGGATCCGATAAAGCAGTTGCAACCGTAGCATCACCGTTAACGCTTGTGTCCAAGCTGTTCGTCTTTTGTGAAATCGATCCAAGAATGCCATTTAATAGGTTCACAATCGCAGACCCAGGGGCAGCGCGGATGGAGTTGTCAGAGTTGAAGACGTCAGCTAAAACGTGCTTGGCTACGCGCGAGATCATTTCCACCTCGAGCATCTCGAGCATGTACTTGGAAATACCACCAATAGCCTCAAGCTTCTTGGCAAGCGATGCCAGACGGCCAAGGTAGCGCATATTGATACCGCAAGAGTGCATCAACTGCGTGAGAGCGTACCCATCGGCGGGGGCGATTGCTCCACGTCGCACGTCGGCCACAAAAGCAGGTATAACAATCTTTTGCAGGTACTCAGCGGCATCTTTCGCAGCCGCCTCATCAGCTTTTAGCTGCTCCGGATCCAATGAAGCCGCATATTCCATGAAGACGTTCGGGTTTAACAGCACCGGGGGAATGTCGTCCTCATTCTCCTTTTTCAGCTCACTCTTCTTTGTGTTCTCCTTCTCCGGCACCGAGTCGATCTTCTTCTCCGGTACAGATTCTTCCTTTATCTCCGAAACAGGGTCGTTCTTCTTTTCCGACACAGTCTCGTCCTTCTTTTCAAGCGCAGCGTCGTCTATGTTCTCAACACCAGTATCACCACTGTTTTCTTTTTCCGCCTCCTTGGCTTCGTTTGCCACCTTGCGAGCCTCGCTAGCGGCGCGGCGGGCCTGATTCTGCTTCCACAATGAATACAGCTGGACCAATTCCGGACGTAGCAGAGCCACGTAGCCCACATCGGTACGCGTGATGCCTAGCCCGTCTACTTTGGGCGCGATAGTTTTCTCCTCTTCTGTGTTCTCCACAGCATGACGGCTTTTGTAAAACGTCCAGTCCTTCGGGGTGATGCGGACCAGATCCAGAACATACAGACGGCCGTCAGAGCCTTGAATTCCCTTGGCCTCGACCGCGCCACAGATGGTTGCCGGATCAGTGGTTGCTTCACCGCTTTCGGGCGCAACACCAAGAGCCTTCTGCTCTTCCTCTGCAGCCATATCCTTTTCGCTTTTTCCAAGAGGCTTAATAGTCCGTTCCGCGATGTGCAGCTTTGATCCTGCCTCGAGCATCAACGCGTGCATCTTGCTGTTGGCGGCAATAGTTTTTCCGTGATCCACAGATCCATACACGAGTTTAGAGGCAGAGTCTCCTATAAGGATGCCCGGGATAAGACTTTGAGCAATGACGCGCACACCAAGGTAATCTACGACCGTTGTAGCCAAAGTATGCAGACCGCGTACATCCACTTCATTAAATGCCTTCACGCCCACCAGGTCACGGTTGGCAGCCGAGTAGGCATTCTCGTCACCTTGAGCGGCATCTTTGATCGGCTTTCCGTCGTTTGACACTGAGAAAAAAATGTTGTTGAACACGTAGACGTGCGTGCTCTCGTCGTCCATCGGATTGATAGGAGGGATGTTTCCCTCAACGATGGCAACCGCGCCGGACGTCGCAGCTTCTACAAACTCGGTCACAATCTTGTACATGACGCGAGCACGGACGATCTCGTCCTTGAGCGATTCCGTCGGCAACTCGCGGCAGCACTGATACTCCTCATTCCAATCACGTAAAACACCACGTTCATCCATTCCGTACGATGCGCACAACTCATCTTCAGCACGGTTGAGGTCGTACGCGTGTTTCTCCGTTGTGATACCAGCAGGAGCGTTCCACGGCAGCTTGACACCCACGTAAGAACCAGCAGCCACCATCCACTCGATCGATGAAGGACCTTCCTCAGCCAGAGAAGCAACCTTGGCCAGGAGGGCAGCATATGAGTCCCTAAACTTCGATGACACCGAGCTCAGCAGATCTACCAACAGATGCGTGTAGCCCGCATCTGTCGTATCTGGGCGAGGGTCAAACTCGATGGCTGTGGAACGGTTCATGAAGAAGCCGTCGACATGCGCCGTAATGTGGTAAGGCGTGTTTTCACCAGCAACAACCACCTCCAGATACATCAAGTCACCTGCCAGTTTGCGTGGCCCTGGAGGCGGGTTGTAGCCCGAAAAGACGATGCTTTTAAGACAAACAGGGAGCTTGGCATTCACCGACTGCTCCTGTTTCTTCTGCTCGTCGGCTTCAATCAGCTGCTGCTGCTCCTTGTGCTGCTGCGAGTTTTTCTTTCCCTTCTTCTTTTTCTTTTTCTGGTCTTTCCCTTTGGTAGCGCTCTCCACCTGCTCCGCCTCTTCCTGAGCAGCAGGAGAAGCTCCAGGAAAGGAGTAGAAGTCAGCAAGATCCGGCACAACAGGCACTTCAATGCCCTCCAGCTTATAGTGGATCTCCCTCAGTCGCTTCAGCTGCTGTTCCGAGACCTCCTTGAGCTTCTTGTCCTGCATCTCCTCTCCCTCCGTCGCTGTCGGCTCTTTGTCCTTGCTCACAACAGCGTCGGACGGAGACTCCGGCTCAATGGCCAGCGGGGGAATGGGCGGATTGGTCAGCACTTCACGGAAGCGACGCACGTGTGCGCGCACCTTGCGGGCGTCATACTTATCCAGAACGATCCGCAGCGTGACGCCGTCCGTCACGGTCTCGTAGTCCCCCAGCTCGACGTAATCGTTCAGCGGTTGCCACGTGTCGTCCGTGAGACTCTTGGCCTCCAGGTGGTAGCACGTGTAGCACGTGAGCGCTGGGAACTCGGCAAGGAGCTGCCGCAGAGTCACCACCGTGTCCGCGGGGCTCACGCTCTCGAGACGGACCGTCTCACTGCTCGGAGCAGAAGGGGGAGGCGCCACCAAGACGCTGAACACCGACTCCAGGATCTCCTCTTCGTTTGGGCGCTGCTGCTCGACGCTGTCGCTACTGGCCATGCTGCTACTACCAGCGGAAAGTCGGCGATGGGTCCTCTTCGTGTCGAGAGCTCTTGTTGCACTGTGGGTGAGATTGCAATGTGTGGCGCACAGACGATGATGAGTGGACCAGTCCTGTTGGGGGTTGTCGGCTCACTTGACTTGAGTAAGAGGTGAGGGACCCTTTGGTGAAAAGCATGTGAGTCAGTCCCACTTGAACTTTTTGATCTCGATCATAAACGGTTTGTGTTCTGGGTTGCGACGTCTGACCCACGTGACACGCAATTCAGTCGAGTCTGTCAGAACTGATAATACGCGACCTGGACCCGATTGATGAATTGAAAGCAATTAATTTGTTGCTTTGGATAGGGAACCGATCTTCCGAATAAATTATGGGCACTGTTAGGTTTACTCCCTTTTTGGCTTAATTCATTCTCTATTTTTTCGCTAAGTAAACACTCGTAGCAGTAAGTTTTAACTGGTCAAACATTGATTGTAAAATGCACCCGTTTTCACTTCAATTACCTCACAAGCTCGAATAATTCTACAGCGATATGGCATCGCCCCGTGGCCTCGTCCCGTCAAATGGTCAAAAGCTTCAGCCACGGAGGATTCGATAGCGCAATATTCTAGGAGTCGCATGCGTACGCCTTAACCAGAAATTACGAGAAACTTGATAAGAAAGCATCCAACGTCAAGAGATGGCATTTTAATTTTTCAGCTTTCTCTTTAGTAGGACTTCAAAGACACAAATCTGCGTTCTTAAAAAATTACTGTTTTAAGTATAGGCAAGGCGGCCCGTGCAGCTTCGAATGACATTATACTGACAAGAATTAAGTATCGACAAAAAGGATAAACAATCAAACGAATAAGGAAAAGATGTCGAAAACACAGCCATAATGGCGGTGAAAAAGAGAAAAAGCATTTAATCATATTTGCTTAGTGGTAGCAGCAGCAAATAGATTCCGCAAGAAGAGAAGAGGACCCCGACAATTATGATAGTAAACACCACACAATATTAACCTTTTGTAACCGAAGGTGCCTATTGCATAGAATCTACATGAAGGACAAATTAATGAGAATATCATGTCAGCATACACTTCTTTAAAAATGTACTGTAAGATGAACTACATGGCAGTCAAAAATACTCTGCTCATCGGGTAATCCAGGGCATGTAATTAACTAACAATGCTGGGCCGCAATAGACGTACGCGATGATTGGTAAGCAGATATTTTAATTACGCATGTTTCTATTTAGGCACAGCTAAAAGAAGAATAAATTTGATTTGTTCAACTAGCATTAGCTATTACAATGGGTATTGTTATATACAGCCCGCTTTTTACGAAATACACCCCATACACCACACCCATGACACACCGCAATGTAGTGTATCAATATCGTACCACCATACCTCTGTACGACCACTATCGCACAACAATTGGCATCCATCGTACAAAGGGTAAGCGATTTACCAAGAAAACCTCGTTTCTTACCTACTGTACGGCTATGCTGTTATAAAGTAAAGATGAAGAATAAAATTAACTACTCGTGTTTAACCGCGAATCAGCGCGTTTCGGCCCCCGCCGGGCCTCGTCAGTGGCGTTACAAGTTTGAAGGTGACAATTACCAAGACCCCTAGCTGTAAAAGATCTGTAAAATCCGTAAAATTACTAGAAGCCACTAGAGCAACCCATGTATCCTGGCACAGGTTAAATCGCTGGCGTCCGTATCAAGTGCAACTTGCTCTTTCCACCACTCTTCCACGACGATATCAGATGTAGGCCGTGGAGCATCCACCCGCTGGTGATGCCTACTACTGCATCCCACCACTAAGACATCATAAATTGAGGCTTTCTACCTGTTCTCCGACCAACCTGGATGATACTGAGCGTTCCAGATATCCTGGATCTCCCATCGTCCAGCACGATATCACATCTTGACATCCTGTAGCCTTCGTTGAGCGTGTCTGTAGTGCTTCCATCCTCCTGACACCGGTAGCACACTAGTCAACACTTCAAGCCTCCACCTTCCTTGTTGCAGAATTTGGCCGTCCGTTTCACTAACATACATATGAACAGTGTATCACCGTGCACTGTTATGATTCAATTTACCATCGTCGCCTATTCTTTCGCGGCAAAGTGTACAACATAGCCTCGGTGCACGCTCCAGCGTACGACTCGATTGCCTATCCAAGCCGCTTGGGCTCATAATCTGTAGAAAAAAAGAACGCAATATTTAGACTATACTAACGGACTCGTGTCAGATGCGTTTCGTCCCGCCGCCGCGAGCCTCCTCAGTGGCTAACCGATCGCAAAATGAGATCTCTCACTTCAGTGGCCTCGGAGATGACAGTAGCTTTACCTACGCATCGAACACTTTAGAACTGCCTCTTATATGGACTAATCGAGCGCTATCTAGCAGAATTCACTGGTGTACAATTAGTACCCGGCTACGTACGGAATACCACTTTCCAACAGACATTTTTGCCTCGTGAACGCTTACACGAAGATCACGACGCTTTTGTAACTACATGTTGAACACACCTGGGATGCTCTATGTATCGTTCAGAAACGACAAAAACTAGGTTTCAGTCGAGAAAGCTTCAAAATTGAATGGAGTATACGTTCAATTTTTGCCTGACAAAATTTGATACGTCCGTCGCAGCGAAAAACACCTCCTCGAACAAATAGTTGTATAAAACTACACGTACTGAGGTAGAGTCAGTTATTCGACCCTTTCAAAGAAGTACTGTTTGGTAAACAACTTACTATTTGTACGATCGACGCCAATTGTTGTGCGATATTGGTCGTACAGAGGTACGGTGGCGCGATATATGACGTACAAACCATATTGCGGTGTGACATGGGTGTGGTGTATGGGGTGAATTTGTTAAAAAAATGGGTTGAATTATATAAGGGATCATATTCAGCACAGCCCTACTTTCTACGCTACTGAGTATCTTCCGCTTCGCATAGAAATCTTCATCCGCACGTAAGTGTACGTGAAGTATGCGAGTCACCTTCTTATTCTGTGTGCAGTGGAATCAGCTTGTACTGTGTTCGTACAACTTTGGTGCCCGTAATAAGTATGCTATTTTTCTTCTTATTGACACCTTCAAGTTTATAAAACCCTTGATAATGATTGTTTACGTGCAAACGAATTTTCGTGTATATCCGTCATAGATTCTTTCTCAATTGTTACACCAACGGTTATCCTGTGCAGAAAATAATACCCGCTGTGGTAGCTGCCCCACCTTCAACAAACTCGTGCGGCATATTGCAAAGAAGTGGCTATATGTATAAGTTCACTGTTTGCCGTGGTGTAAAATACCGGATTATATTGTCTGAAGGATCAGATATTTAAGAGACAGACTGAGCATGTGAACGGGTATCGTGCCAAGCACGATCTTGAAGTGCATTCACCACAGCTACATATCATTTAGTCAAGATGCTGCTGTATTATATAGTATGCTGAAACGATTAGATGTCACGCACATCATAGCGTGTTAAATGGGATGTCTAAAAGCTTTTCCTGACAAAAGGAAAATGCAGTGAATCTAACCTGAAAAGGAAGTGAGTCTACCTTATCCTAGATTTGATAAAAGCTGTCGAAGGTAACGTCGATGCGTGGAATTGTGCGTGATATACCAATCAGGTTTATACAGGATTGATGACTTATTTATACCTTAACTAAGTCGGTTATGTGAAGGAGTACGTTCTTGCCGCAAGATAAAAAGACTCACTTAAAGCATAGACCTCAAATATTAGGCAAAGCGCGTAAAAAGGAGATCCTCGCTGTAAATCAAACGGCACACAGTTTTTGATCAAACTAAAGAAGCTAATGAAGTTGATATGCTCCTCACCGGGAACAAAAAATGAATGGGGATAGAAATGTTGCCCTTGCACAGAACGAAGCGCCTTTGGTTGCTGGTGGGAAAGAACAAGTGTTTTTTTGGGTCGAATACGAAGTGACAACGCTTCGTCAAGGACACAAAAAGGTACAAGGTGCTTTGAACTCTAACCATGCATTGGCGTGTGCCCATGAGTCCATTATACGTGCCGAATGCGTAGGTGCGTGAAGGCATTCCAAGATGTGGATAACAGATTAAGTTGCGGTTCCCACCAGGCATCGACGTTTCAACGTCGCAGATCTAAACGCTTGGCACCATGGTCTGCAGCGAGCTCTCTAGTGAGCCTTGTCAATGACCTAAATGGGGTGAAACAGACAATGTGCTTGTAGGCAAAGGATTTACTTGAGACATATGAAGTAGCCGATTCGTACAGTGTATCGCCGACGACTGCATATACTAACATTATCTATGCCAACGACGCGGCACTTGCATATGTTTACGTGACCAACATGCTCGTAAGTGGCATCAGCATAAAGTGTGTGGACGAATTTCATAGAGCCATAAAATTTGAATCTGGAAGATTTAGGAGCAGCACAAAAGAGGTTTAGCATTAAAGTCGATAACAGCGAAGCCAACGGCTATGCGCTAGACCAAAAGGTCATGATACGGAAATGCTGACATAAAAAATCAGCGGCAAGTCAAATACAGTACCAGCAGTGGTCAAAATCTCTCGTGAAGTAGCGCTATAAAGAGAAGAGTTGCTACAAATCAATAGACCCGATAAAACTGAATGTATCGCCGTAAATAGATTCCGCTCTCTTGTTGAAAATTTGATCTGGATTGCATATTTCAGGTGTTCAGACATAGCGCGTGAGGTGCACCATGTGACAAGGAAGGTTCACAAGCCCACACAAGGTGACGTGTAGATTGCAAAACACATTGCACGGTATCTGGATGGTACAACAGCACTAAGATTGAGCATACCACTAGGTAGAGGCAGTAAGTATCCGCTAAAACTTACTGCTTACATGGAACCCGGCTTTTCTGCATACAAGATGAGACTAAAGTCGGTAAGTGGAGCAATCATCTTCATGGATGAAATGATCTGTCAAGCGGTCAACCATGACAGCTCGTCGAGTTTTTGAGGTGCAACTGCAAGACCCCTTACAG